AAAGTTTTAGTGGTAAAAAATAGTCTCTAAACATATGCTTAGAATGTTAAGAAAGTAATTGCTATAGAAAGTTCATTTAGGAATATTCCTGTTAAGCATATTTAGTTCAGTTACCTATATAATAGTAAATATACCATAAACTATACTTAAGTACCTAATTAGTAATTAGTATTAAATACTAAATAAAAAACACAATACAAAATATTTTTTTTCAAGCGGCCATGATATACAACCTTATATGCCTGTATAGAGATAGTTGAAGTGCGTCTTTTTCATTAGCGGCAGACAAAAAACTCAAAAAAGCCTAGGGATAGAAGTAAATCCATAGGTGTCTCAATAGACGTCAAATAATAAAATTAATTTAGAATTTCATACAAAGCAATCACGTTGTATTAATTATATTAATTATAATCGCACGGAATATTTAGTGATTATTTATTAAATTTTAATTGAAAGAAATAAAGAACAACTAGTTTATTAGTATAATATTATGATGATAGACGAGTTGCCAATGTCGGAACTCCAAACAAATGTCAGTACGACAAAATTAATACAAGCGCAGCATTTTGACAGAGCAGGGTTTATTTTTAGTTTAGACTTTGTTATCTATGGTTTAGGATATTTATCGGCATTGTAAGTAAGGGTTATAAGTTTTTTTAGTTTTTATCAATAATTTCTAATGCTTTTAGCCAAAATTTTATACCACATGAGTTAAGAGTAAATAAAATAATTCCATTGCTTATCCTATTTATATTACGCCCTTGAAAAAAAAAATTGTATATGTTATTTGGAGTAGAAGCTCTTTTTGTGCTTCGTACAGTTGCCTGCCTCAGCTACGCTTCGGCCGTCAATCTCTGTACTCACCACAAAAAGAGTCGCTTCTACTCCTTATGACATAATCTAATATTACTACAGGTATTTTATTTTATGTTAAAAATAAATATTTATTAATTTGTATACCGATTTTTTATTTCTGAATTAACATTTTCATGTATAATAATCCTAACTATCTTCAACTTCAATCTAATCTGACTTATCCCACAAAATTTTCCAATTTTACTTTTTATGAAATAATGTCATACAACATGGTTTAGAGGTCAAATTGTTTTTTAATATTTTTAAATAAATATATATTACGTCGCAAAATTTTTTAAGAGGACGACAAGTACATTTCACTTTCATATTATGACAGTGAGGCGTATTTGTCGCCTCCTGAAGAATTTTACGAATGTTAATCCAACATATTAGAACGTGGGTATCTGGCATATTTGGAAATATTCTCAAAAGCTTCCTAGAAGCTCCATAAGAAACCTTTTAAGAACATTCCAAAAACGTATTCTTAAAATGTTCTTAGGATGCTTTTTAGGAAGGTTTTAAGAATCTAATTGCATCATTAAAAGGGTATCTATTGAATGTTTTAATAGTCCCTAAGAACATTCTTAGCAATAAGGGAAGGTTCTAAGAATATTCCATTATTCCGGGTCATATTTTCTTAGAAGATTCTTAAAATCAAATTTTGCATTTAGGGATAAATCATATAGAGCTATATAAATCATATAGAGCTGTATTGGGGTTTATAGAAATTCTACACCTTTATTTAGTATCTCCATATATACATTGGCGCCCGGAGGGGGGGCAAGAGGGGGCACTTGCCCCCCCTGGAAATAATATCCCTTAGTTCGTATACCAGCTCTTTCCTATATTCAGGATTTGGTTTCTATAAATATTTTTTTGGAATGTTTTTTTTATTTTTGATTGTTGTTTTTTTCGATTTAAGAGCTTTAACCAAATTTATTTTATTTTAATAACTTATTAGTTCCTTTGTTACTGTGTTTTTTTTGTTGTTTTGATGTTGTTAGTATTGTATTATTCATAAATAAAAATAAGGTAGTAAAAAGTTTTTGTTTTTGTTTTTGTTTTTGTTAGTAAAAAATATTTTTTTGTTTCTTCTTGCTCTAAACTTAGTACAAAAATAAATATCGAAGTTTAGCATGCAGGTTTAAATAAATGTTTCTAAATTGTTTAATATAAAATATTTGTCTTAAATTTCTCGACTGTCATTTATAGTTTTTGCCCCCCCCTAGACAATTTTCTGTGGGCGCCCTTGCATAAATACTTAAGTATATAGGGCTGAACAGAAGTTTTTAGGTCATGTTATTTTTATCCGAATATCCATATAAAAAGTTCAATAGGACCATATTGGTAGCGTATTGGTAATTCCCTATAGGGGATATATAAATTTTCTATTTGGCAGTATCCGGAAAAGGTATATTAAGCAGGGATATCTACTACAATCTAAAATTTTTTCAAAATTTTTTCATAGCGACTTATATCGTGCCCGATATGTGAGGGATTTATCTATCTAACAAGTCTCTGTATTTTTAACGATATTTACATACATTGGAAAAGTCAAGACGATATATTTTTTCATTGTAGTTTTTTTTGGTTGACGTGGGAAAAGGGTTTAAAGTACAACATTAAAAATATTTATCATGCAAAAATTGTCCAGACTTTTCTTAAATAAATAAACATCAAAAACATTAACAAAGACTTTAAACCTAACCTATTTCGGGGTTCTAGATTTCACTTGCCTGTGTGGCATACCCTGACACGCGAATGTGTTTTTCTTGTAGGTGTAATAGTCCATGGTATGGTTTGTTCAGCTGTAAATATTATAAAGTAGGCAGGTATATGTTTATGGTTTTTTAAATACTGATAGGTATTAATTTATAACTTATAAATTGAAACTTAAATTGACACTGAACAACAGGATTCCTTAAAAATAAATAAAAAGTGATTACAAAAGTTTCAACATATTTCTAAGAGGAAAGCTCATCGCAATAATAGTTTTTTAAACACATGCAATAAAGTATAGTAATTGGACATTTTATATAGTAATTGGACACATGGACCTTGGTTATTGGACATACAATTTTTAAATAAACAACTTCAAATAACATAAATTGTTAAATATTTTTTAAAGATAAATTGCTGTTTTAGGTAATTTTTTTTATTTCGTTTTTGTAAATATCATATAATTCTCGGATTCCTCATTCCTTTTCTGGATTCTAAAGGTAACTACTAATTCCTTGGTCTGACTTCTAAAATAGTTTGTTGCAAATATCATTAAGTGTGGTATCTCTAGTTTGTGAAGCATTTATAATGTTTAGGCCGGAACAGGATGATTTATATATATCTAATATTTTTTCGGGTGTTATGTTAAAAGTAATTTCCAAATTTATTAATTTTGTTGCCACTAGTTTTTTATGTTCTCTATCATGCACTGTATTTAAATCACTGCAAGATGTCCTGTGACGAATAAATCACTATATTACTTACTCTCTAAAAATGAATTAGTCAAAAATGTCATAGCGAAATAGCAGCCACTAATAATTCTCGTCAACAGCAATTTGTATCCAGGACATTCCTATGAAATATTATTCGCTGAACCCGAAAATGTCGTCAAAAGTTCAGTGGCGGCTGGTGGATTTTGGGCTCACCCATATCTCAGTTATTAGACATGGGACCCACATCAAATTTATATGAGTTTATAATGACATTATATAGACAAGTTCTGCACAAGCAGAATTTAAATTGAAGTTTGCGAAAAAAGTTAGTTTTTAAGTGTGCCCCCCAGCCTTCTGCCCTCCCAAATTAAGATAATTCAAATTAAAGTGGTAAAATATTTTATTCACTGAAGTTTATCGACAAATTTCAAATTTTATTATAAAACTTCAAGAATTACAGGTTTTATACACGTAACATTTACCGTAACATTGGAGATCTCGATTCTCGCTGGACCAGTGTTGCCAGATTTAGGCCTAAAATGCTCCTAACAAGGTAGGCCCTTGATTTTAATTATTAGGTATATTTCTCCAGGCGCTTTCTCGTAAAAAGATATGTTCGTACAAGGTCAATTCTCATATAACTTGTTCCGATGCTGTATCCACTTATTTTTGTGAAAACTAATTCTCGCTCAAGGTTTTTTTTAGTGTAATAAGCATGTAGCATTTCAAGGTAATGGGAACTTAAATTATGACAACCCTAATCTATTAATTTTTTCCTAAAATGCAGGCTTTATGTTGCAAATGTCACATAAGTTACCGGTCACCAACTGCAATATCCTAACATCGATGAATATTTCAACAAAATGGCCGTTCAAACAACTAATGTTAGTGCTTGATTAACTAAAAATAGACTTAAGATTGACAAAAAATTATTTTATCCGAAATCGGCAGTAAAGTAGTCAACAATCGTAAATTAAAATAAATCGGCAGTAAAGTTCTACTTTACTGCCGATTTCGGATAAAATAATTTTTCGTCAATCTTAATTAAGTCTATTTTGAGTTAATCAAGCACTAACATTAGTTGTTTCAACAGCCATTTTGTTAAAATATTCATCAATGTTAGGATATTTCAGTTGGTGACCGGTAACTTATGTGACATTTGCAACATAAAGCCTGCATTTTAGGAAAAAATTTATAGATTAGGGTTGTCATAATTTAAGTTCCCATTACCTTAAAATGCTACTTGCTCATTACACTAAAAAAAACCTTGAGCGAGAATTAGTTTTCACAAAAATAAGTGGATACAGCATCGAAACAAGTTATATGAGAATTTACCACAAGACAATATAAATGTATAAGGTTAAAGAAAAAAAAACAGACATAATTTTAACGTTAATTTTACGTAAATATGAGGTATTTAATTTGTTTTTATTACATCGTTCTTTTGGTCGCTTGGATAGTTATTATGTAGTTAAAATAACGTATTAAACGATTTCTTATATTGTGTAATTTTTGTTGTTCTACCCTTTATAAGTATTTATGTAGTTATTTTTACTTAAAATGCTGCTTAGGATATCTCTTATGGCACCAAAAAGTTCATAAAATATATATTTTATAATAGAGCTTGTTTTTTAATGCACGCTATCGACGAAGTAAAAACTGTCAAAAAAATATCATTTTGTTGTTCAGTGTAAATTCATTTTCAATTTCAAGTTAATTAAACTTACTGGTTTCGCTGACATTTGGTTCGGTTTCTGTTGACAACGATAACTGTGGGCGACCGCTTCGTTGCAATTCTGTAAAGTTTTTAAAACGTCAATTTTCAATTTAAATATAAAGATATATAGTATACATGTAGGTTTTTTATTATTAAATATAAAAAAAACTTTCTCGATTTTTATGTAAGAATGTCATATTCTCGCACGCAAAATCGTTGAAGAATGAAGCTCATTCTTAAACGATTTTTGGTAACATTTAGTTTTTAAGTATTGGTACCCCCAAAATGTCAAACTGATTAATAACCTCAAATTCATTACTTTTATTGAAAATGAAGCCTTTATTATTGTTTTGTAATATAATGTTTGCTCCAACAATGCATTTTAATGCAAAATTTTAAGTTTAATGTGTAAAAGTGCAGTTCAGGTTGTACTTGTGCAGGATAACAAATATTGTCATTTTGTGTTGCCAACTGACATTTTGCGAGAAAAATCCCCTAACTAACAACGACCACAAAACAATTAAAAAAACCTAAATAAAAGTTAAAATCGAGAAAATAGTATAAATCACACGTTGCAGAAGGCTATTCTCGCACTCATTCGTTCGTCCACTCGCTCCTTCGTCGCTCGAGGCCAAATTTCGAATTCGTGCGAGAATATGTGGCCTTCTGCAACTTGTACTTTAATATACTATTTTTGCATAATTAATTAAAAAAGTGTGTATGGAATAAAAAACGAGTTATTTAAAAAAAGATCAACATAATTTATATTTCGGAAACCAATAGGGATATTTAAGTATATTTTTTAAACAAAGATACCATGTTTTAAATTGTCATTTTTTTATAAACATGCAACATTCAGGAAAGTGGTTTGGAACTAGACTAAATCAATAGGTACTAATTTAAACAGTTTCCTGCAGTTTTACCTCAAATGAACAACAACCTCCCTTTGTATCGACCCGCTATGTTTAGCAACCCTTATATAGATGGCGCTGATCATCAAATTATTGAAATAATAATTTTTGTTGTTTTGTTTGTATTATTTTTAAAAACAATTAAACGAGTTTGTACATTATAAATTAAAAATTATATGGGCGTTTTAGATTTTAGCCTTTTTGGGCAGATTTTTGAAAACTAAATTTCTTTAACAAAAGCACTTCAAACAATAGACAACTAACTAACTACCGATTTGACAATACAAAGAAACGGGGCGGAACTTCCGCAAAACTTCTGCAGAAGTTCCGCCGCAGAAAGGACATAACATGTTGGGGTAAGCTTTAATTTTAATAGATTTGATTTGAGATTTTATTTTTAATCAAAAAATTTAAAGAATGTACTACATATAAAAATATCTTAAACCAAATCAACAAGTATACTTATAAGGTTTAGGAGGTTTTATATGGGTAATATTAAATTAAACACTTTATAATAGAATAAATAATTTTGTTTAGAGGACATTTTCCCAGATGCCATTTACATAACTAACTACTTTTAGCACTTTCCCATTTTGTAATATTCCTTCATTTGGTATTTCCTAAAGTGTACTCATTTTCACAAGAACATGTAAAAAAAGGGTTTTTGTTGTAACATGAAAATTTCTTATATTATTATTATTAAATCTATTAAAACAGATGTCCCTCTCAAAACTTAAGTTGAAGAGATTTTGCGTATTTTAGATTTAAATCACTGCTTACTACCGTAATACCGTTTCGTTTTCTTTGGGTCTTATTTTTATAACTTTTAAATATCGACGGTGAAAACCTAAAAGTTATTTAACTTTTTAGTAAGTATATATATATAATATCAAGTATAGGTTTTAAATATTTTTTTTTTAATTTATTAAATATATTAGTGCAGCATGCTTCTGCAGAAGGTTACATTGAAGAATCCATATCCAATAAGAACGATTGTGCAATGAAAATACCGTCGAAAATTCCTGAACCAAATTATTTTAATTCTCAACCAGAATGTAGCAAAAATTACGAAGAAACAGCGCAAGATGCCTACTATGGAGAAAACATATACAGCTCGTTCAGACTAAAACCGAATATATCTATATATATATGGGGCGTGGCCTCGCCTCCCCCCAACGCGCGACACAGTACACTGAAAAAAATAAGCTGTTGAAACAACAAAAAAATATTAATTCAACTCTTTATGCACTTTAAATACAAGCAATGGTTTTTGCACGTTTACTTAACCTTCTAAAAATGTCAAATTGTATTGTTTAATTGAACAACAAATAACAGTCAAATGAACAAAATAAGAATATTTGTTCTAATCTGCTAATTTGGTTAATTTAACATTCTTAGAGTGTTAAGGTAAATTTCTTGAAATGTCCAGGTAACCTTTTTAGCATATTCACTTAACACCAATAAAATGTTAAATTAACATTCTGAAAATGTAAAATTCTTTAAAGGTTGGTATCCAAAACAAAATTATGGAAATAATATATTATTATATATAAATAGAAAGAATTGAACCTTCACCTCGCACAGAGTTATTGTTTTGAGCGTGTTCCACCCATGATACATCTTTGTATCATGTGTTCCACCTACTTCAAATACCGACAGACTGTTTCGCCCTGTATTGAGGGTCTTAACAGTGTCGGGCAATATGGTGTAGTGAAAGTTCTACTGTGGAACACACCTTAAACAAACAGATATCTCATCTTATATACACCTAATCGTAAGGTAACTAAGGCGAGATGTAAGAAAACGTCATTGTCTAATGACGTGGCGTGAGTGTTCGAAGCGCCATTCTCGGCAATTTTATGAATGCAAATTTTACATTTTAAATTTGTTAAATGAACAAATTTAAAGTTTTGGATTAAAGAGCAACTAAACGTTAATTTAATAGTTTTTTTTAGGTAATCCTAAAAATTTCAGTAGTTGATTCAACAAATTCCAGCTATTAAATCAAAGTACGATAAACATTTTAATTCAAAATATTAGGTAGTTTATGTTAAATTAATATTTAAACTGTCAAATGAACAAATAAACTTTGACAAACTCTGACTTTTGCTTTAACACCAAAATATAGATTAATCCAATAGGTTTTTTGTTGAAACAACATTTTTAAAAATGACATTTAGGCAAATGTTAACTCAACTACATTATTTTTTTCGGTGTAGCTACGCAATTAGACTGCATCGCTAATGAGATTTTTTGCATTATTATCATTTAATTTTTTAAGTCCTTACCTGCTCGACCTTTCGTCATGTCGTTTATCACACAAGCAACTGTGACGCGCCTTGGAGGGAGGCGAGGCCACGCCCCATATATATATAGATATATTCGGTTTTATTCTGAACAGGCTGTATACAGAAAATCAAAGGCAACGTTCCAACATTGAAAAAAAAATGTTTTTGTCTGTTATACGCTAAAGAAGCATCGCTAGTAGCGCCACCACTTGGTCGTTATCATCGTAACCGAACTACAATTTTTAATTATCAGCTGTCAAATGCTTAGGTTACAAAGAGTGTTCTTGAGAATAAAGCCGGAAAATGTAAAAAAAATATCGAAAAAAAAAACCGTGGATCGATTTGTTGTGTTGTTGGGTGTATTTCGAGAGGAAATCCTGGGTCGTGTTTTTACTGCTTTTCCAATAAACAGGGGAAATCCGAATGAAGAACTAAATTGCATACATTCCCTTTAAATATCAATTGTACCTATTAGCAGGCCCGTTCCTGGGGTGTCTGGCGCCTACGTGCAGCATTCGTTGGTGCGCCCCATATTTAAATATAATACATTAAATAATTTTAATTTTAAGCCCTTAAATTTAAAAAATATATATTTTGCGACAAACTGGCAATATGGAATTGAAAATTAAAAAAAAAACCGCCTAATTTACCAAACAAACAAAATCACAAAAATTATTTAGTGATAAAAATACTCTAAAGAAAACAAAAAACAATCAACAATATAATAACTACAACTGGTTTTTAGTGACGTACTCTCTATAAATGAATTAGTAAAAAATGACTAGTTTTAAAAGTAAAAAAGCAATCACTAATAACTTTAGTCCACAGCAATTTATATCCCGTGTAAAATTATGAAAGTAAAGCAGTTTTTAAGATATAGTCAATTCCATATTATATGAATAATTTACTAAATCTCAAAAACGTGCTACTTTTATAAGTTTTGGCGACATTTTCGGATTCAGCAGATAATTTTACATAGGTGTTGACTATTTTTATTGACGATAATTATTAGTCGCTGCTTTTTCGCTATGGCATTTAGACTAATGGAATTAGTAATTTTTAAATAATTCTATTTTAGAGAGTATGCTCGTTACAAAGTCATGTACTGTGTAGACTACTGTTAAACTTAAACTAAACACTACTGATATTAAAAATAAAAAAATAAAAGTTTTTTATATATTTTTTTATAATATCTCTGTAAATAATTATTTTAGGTATAGGAAATGCTGGAAATTTTCCTTCGAATGATGTGAAAATTGTATGGTAGTTTCGTTTGAAATAACAAGGTTATTGGTATTTAAAGTGACATAAATGTCAACGTAAATACCAGACACCCTGCAGACATGTATAAAATTTTTAAATACTATTAATGGTTTTCTATAGAGTTTCCTTAGTTAATAGGTACACCATAAATTAACTTTTTAACATTACAATTAGTGGTAATACCGAGGGGTCACCCACACCTGGGAATCCCTGGACATTTTGGAGGGGGAATACCATAGGAATACAATGGAAATACATAGGAATACAATAAAATATAATGGGAATACATGGGAATCCCTGGACGTTTTCCCTTTGGGTGGTTGACCCCTCGGGTAATACAGACATATTAGTAAGACCACCCATCTGTCAAAATTTTTGAAAAAAATTAATAATCTCAAAAACTGATAAAAAATAAAAAATTATAATCAATTTTTGGTATTTCTAGATTTATACGTAGAAATTAAAAATGCAATAATATTTATATGGTTTTATTTAAAGTGAAGAGGCATTTATAATAATAATTATTTTAAAAAATGGTTTACATTGCCTTATAATTCCTATAGAAGTTTCAAATCGATATCTTTTTCCGTTCTCCATAAATTCTAATGAATAAGTTATGCGAATCACCCTGTATAATATTATGTTGCCATAAATTCGTAGATATATTTTGCCTTTTAATTATTTTAAAAAATGGTTTACATTGCCTTATAATTCCTATAGAAGTTTCAAATCGATATCTTTTTCCGTTCTCCATAAATTCTAATGAATAAGTTATGTGAATCACCCTGTATAATATTATGTTGCCATAAATTCGTAGATATATTTTGCCTTTTACTTCACTCAGAAAAATAAACATGCACTGATAATGAAACTAATTTTGTAAGCGATTAATGAAATAATATTATTTATCTTAAATTTAATTGAAAAGGGCTATACAAGAGGTGGTACACCTTTTTTATTAAATTTTCTTATTGGTACAATGTTATTGTTAAAGTAATGAGATTATTTTTAATTACAGAATAAACTTTTTCTAATGTTAATAAAATTCTCATTTACTACAATAATGAATAATGAAGCAGCAATGTTGAGCTTTTATAAAAAAAATGTTCATCCAACAAAGAAATTATTAAGTAAAGTAAATTTAACAAAAACATTTAAAGTTCGACAAAGATTTAATATAAAAATAAAGAAATACTTTATGTTTATATTAAATCTTTGTCGAACTTTAAATGTTTTTGTTAAATTTATTTTACTTACTATTGTTTGGCAATGGTAACAAATTTTTTGTTATTTCCCTTAAAAAGAGGGGGAAAGGGCCAGCGTTCTCCTTGGTGGACATAACTTTATAGTTATATCTTATTGATTTCACTTGTGCGAGTGAAGTGTGGTAAAATTTAGCATGATAAAAATATCAAAAAGATCACTAAGAAAATTAAAATTTCGACGTTTTCTAAAAGAAACATTTAAGGTCCATTCTATAAACGAAGCAGACTTGTTGTTTAAAAAGTTAGTTAATATCTTTTTATTTTGAACATCATATAATATGAGTTACAGTGGGTTGAAAATGTGACCATTGTTACAACGAAAATAGTTTATTGAATTAACAATTAATTTCTTGTTAAATTGACATACATTTTATTAATATTAAAAAAAAAGTTATATTTTAAACGAAAAGGGATTCGTAAAATATACAAAATTTCTATGAATAATACCATTATGGTTTCATTACTGTTTTTTTGGATTGGACAAATAATAATAACTATATTTATCAATGCATTTCTGCATCTGTTATTTTTAGGGATGGGATTTTAGTTATTTTACCTTTTTTCAACCGATGTAACTATTTGAAAACCAATAATGCCAAAATGTGTTTTAAAAGATTTTCTTTTATATGAACCTAACTTGTTTTCACCTTTTTTACCTTTTTTGAGGTTTTTGCTTTAAACTACTTTTTTATACTTTTGTTACCTATTTTTTTAACTTGTTTTCACCTTTTTTACCTTTTTTGGAGGTTTTTACTATAAACTACCTTTTTATACTTTTGCTACATATTTTTTAATTTGTCAGTTTATTAAGTGACAAAAGGCATAATCTTACGTCTCAAAATATAGAAAAGATTCTTATTTGTTACTCAAGTAGTATACTTTATAAAGTTACATCGTGGGTAAATATTAAGTAAATGTAAATTAAGTATTGGTCAGTTAATAAAAAAAATATTTTACGTTACTTATTTTATAAAAATAAACGAAACTTGAACTTTTTTACCTAAAATGCTGTTTTTTTTAACCTAAAATGCTTTTTTAGTAGCTTTTTAGTTCCTTCTTGCTTTAAGTTATATAAAAAGTTTTATTTTATGTTACTTTATCGTTTGTTACTCTAGTAGTAAATTTGGTAAATATCAGGTATTCCCTGTTATATTTTCAGTTCCTTATAGCTTTAATTAAGTATTGGTCAGTTTATAAAAAAAAATATTTTATGTTACTTATTTTATAAAAATAAACGAAACTTGAACTTTTAATGTTTTTTTTACCTTAAATGCTGTTTTTTTAACCTAAAATGTTTTTTTTTAGTACCTTTTTAGTTACCTATTTTTAAGTTTTTAGTAGGTACCTAAATATCCTATCTTTAGTTATTTTTTAGAAACATAACGTAAATTTACTCTATAGTTAATGCAAATGCTATTACTGAAAGCAGCGTTTGTAGATAAATAATTTTTATGTATTAAAAATTTTAATTCAAAATGCAGTTGTCGGCTTGCGCGTTGCAAAAACTTGATGCTTCTTTAGCGTATTTCTATCGAAAAAATTAAAACTCGATGAAGAACCTATTAAAATTGAAATCAAGCGTAAACTCCTCTACCCTATAGGGTTTTTTACCGAATATTTATTTCTGCATAATCTAAGAAATTTTAATGTTACATGCACAAGATTTTTGCAAGGGAAAGTACCAACACCACAAGGTAGATCATATTTACCTGTATTTTTTTCTTTGATAGATTCAAATTGAAATTTGCCCTTGAATCCTTGTCCGGGCGTATTGGAATTCGCAACGAATTCGATGTACAACTCAGGCCCTGTGGAAAAAATCTCCAGCTCGTTGCCTTCGTTGCAAAGAACTCGTATCGTGGGGTCCGAAGATGATCTGCCATCGTAGACGCGAATCAAATCTGCCCGATTGAGACAGCTAGAAATTAATAAAATATTTTCTCATTGCAATCAATATTTTTTTTAAACTACATTGAAAGAAATAGTGCTAGGGTAAAGTAGACAGTTATCGGACACTTTATAGTTATTGGACTAACATTAACATTAATACTGTAAAAACAAGAGTCCTATAAATAGTTACCTTAAAGTCAAATCATTAGATGACGCTGTATACAATTATAACTATCTCAGTCGGTAATAATATAGAACTACTTTATTTTGGGTCCAATATAGGACAAAAAAGTTCGCACGATACTTTGGTGGTAAGATTTTTGTTTTTTTGTTAAGAGCAGGGCTGTGTTTAAATTGAAATAAAAAATATTTCTAAAAAGTGTACAGATCAGTGTGTGGTATAAATGTGTTCCTCTGGTTTAAACATTGTCACTTTAATGCGTTTAAATTTTAATTCTGATAACAAACAGTAAAATGGCCAGTGTCCAATTACTGGTTGGTAAAAAATGTAAATTTCTATTATTGGACATACGTCCAATATCATACTCTATTTGTATCCCGGACATTTACCAGCCAATCCTTATGTAAAATTGTCCCTGAATCAGAAAAGAACGTCAAAAACTATAAAAGTTAAATAGTTTTTGAGATATAGTCAATTCCATATTATATGTAAAATTTATTATATTTAAAAAAACTGTTCTACTTTTATAACTTTTGACGACATTTTCGGATTCAGCGAATAATATTTCATAGGAATTGACTGCTAAATGTCCTGGATACAAATTGCTGTTGACGAGAATTATTAGTGGCTGCTTTTTCGCTATGACATTTTTGACTAATTCATTTTTAGAGAGTAAGTAACATAGTGATTTCTTCGTCACAGGACATCTGCAGAATAACAGTGATTTAAATACAGTGCATGATAGAGAACATAAAAAACTAATGGCAATAAAATTAATAAATTCAACATCATATAATATGAGTTTTTTTTGTTATAGTAAATAATTTGTTTTATTGCATTGCAATTATTTAAAAAAAACTACCCCATACCCAGTAGGTTGAAAATGTGAGTCACATGTGACCATTGTTACAATGAAAATAGTTTATTGAATTAACAATTAATTTGTTGTTAAATTTACATAAATGTTATTAATATTATAAAAGAAGGTTTATTTTAAACGAAAAAGGATTTGTAAAATTTACTAAATTTCTATGAATAATACCATTAGGGTTTCATTTTTCTAGTATAAACGTTTTTGTAAACGGTATAGAACTGTTTTTGGACAAATAATAATAACTAAATTTATCAATGCGCATCTGCATCTGGAAAAGTGTTATTTTTATGAACATAACGCAAATTTACTTTATAATTAATGCACGGCTATTACTGAAAGCAGCTTTTGTAGATAAATAATTTTTATAAAAATTATATTTTTGCCGTAACAAAAGCAATTGTTGGACGAATAGTCAAACAACTTTTTTTGTTATATTTTTTAAAAAAATTTCTGAGTGTGGCTTTTTTATCCCCTCATCCAACCCTCCACAATTATATCGAAAATCTGCTACAATTTGTATGAACAAATTTATTTGGTTCCATTAAAAAATGCAACAACATTTTATAAGTAATGTACAAATATAGCCATATAATATGCTACAATTTGTAGAAGAAAATTTTGGTCGTTGCTTGATTAATTACTAATATTGTGTCATTTTTGACGGCAGTGTTTAACACTTCTCTTATTTTGAAGACAATTTGGAGAAATATTATTTTAGTAATTGTTGTAAAAAACGTTGTAAAAAACGCTACAAAGTTTTGTCATCTTGTACCATAAATTATAATATTTATGTACACAATTATAACATTTTCTGGACCCAGATTATAGTGACAAACGCAACAAGTACATGATGTACATCACTAAAATGCACATATAAAAATATGTGTGGCAACTACAAAATGCTGTTCTAGGTGTTTCAATTTTGTTTGAATGTGTATTACAATTAGTTATTATTCGTATTTTAAACACAATTTGTAAAGTATACTTCTATAGTATCTATAGATATTTATCTATATTGATTTTGACAACAAATTTCTTTTCGTGTAATTAGACAACATAGTATTTTGTTTAGGTATAATAAAACCATATTTTTACGTTTGAGATAAAATAAGTATAATTTTGTCGTAAATTGTTTAACTGTAACGAGGGTTATGCTTAAATGGTAAGTGGTCTGAAATTTATGGCAGTCAAGCAATTTAATTTTGTTATATTACCGAAATTGATGACCTGGCCTGTGACCAACATTTAGGATTATCATGAGGGATCACCATAAAGAGCACGCTTAGCCATAATTAATATATCTGATGGATTGGTTAAACCGGCTAAAATCACTTATGAATACTAATAATAAAGTCTCTGCTAAGTAGGCTTTTTTAAAAGGCGTACACTGCAAAAAAAGATTTGATATATTTAGAAAACCTATCATCTAAAAAATATTTTTTTAATTTAAGTCAACTTGCTTTAAAATAAGAATATATATTTCAACTAAAAATACTTAACTTCTTTAAAAAAGAATTTTGTAGTTTTGGAAATATTCTAATATTAAGAAACATTTCTTGTTTTAAAAATTTGCATGTTTTAATCCAAATATTAAATATTCTTGAAGGAAATCATAGTTGGTTAAACTCTTGGTACAATTGTTAATATTTTTTTATATCAAGAATAAGATATTCTTATTTTTTATTTGTTTTTATATTATTAATTAGATATTTTTAAATTTTTTTATTCGATTTAATAAACATTATTTTCTTTTGCCAATAGTACACATTTTTGAAATCGTGTAGGAGTGGAGATGCCGACACGTTCCTCTGAAATTGTATGCCTAATCATGCAGTGTTTCTTTCTCTTTTTGCGGGAGAGGGAGTATTTCATTAAAAAATTATTAGAAGAGTGGTCAGAATCGAAGAAAATTATAAAAAAAATTGAAGGTAAGTAAGTTGTTATTGATATACCACCATTTTTAAATTTAGCGTCGCATTTACGTGTAGGTAGGTAGGATTATTGTTTAAATATTTACTAATCTGCATTAAGGATGCCTTAAAATTATTTTATATAAATAAATAACTCTGATTTGTATGGCTCTATAATTTTAAGTTAATAAACTTAATTTATTTTATGACATTTAAAAAGATTTTGTTTTAGAAGTAATTTTGTTATACACTTTCGGGTATAACATTAATTTTGATTCATAAAGGGTGGAGTTCATTGGCAATAGCCCTAAATTATTTTATAAAATTGGTAATTGCTTTTCTACTATTCCTAAAATATTACAAATTATGTAAAATGAAAAATATGTCGATAATAATGATTAAGTTCCCTACGTTAATTTATAATATTGTATACATTTTAGATTTTTCTTGTATTAAAAACAAAATAAATTTGTTTGTTCAACGTTTGTTTTTTTATTTTCTAACCTAAATTTTTTGCTTACTGCACCACCTAGAAACGATACAACGTATACTTTGGCCCTTCAGAAAGTTTGGCTCAATTTTGAATATTTAAATATAAAGTTTTGTTTAAGATTAGACAACAATCCTTAAAAAATTACAGGATATTTAATATTACTCCAGTCCCTTTAAGTGTTTGGACGTATTTTTATTTTAAATTTTATTTCTTTTGCAGTAATATTTCTAAATATAAAGATGTTTTTATTATTAAAACAAATAATTTTTAGTTAATAGACCTATCATTATTTAAGAAAATTGATTTAAGAAAATTATCCTGATTTAAGAAAATTATTGCCTTATTTCAATATCACATGTTTTTGTTTTAAGAAAATTTATTCTTGAAGTATCTTTTTTATTTAAAAATACCAGTAATTTATTTTTAAAAAAAACATATTCTTGATTTAAAACAACCACTTATTTGGTTAAAAAAAATACATTTTCTTGAATTAAGTAAATATTGCTGCCTTATTTTAAAAATTATATATTCTTGCTTTTAAACAATCCAAGTTTTATTTAAAGAAATTTAATTTTATTACATTAAGAAAACATTCTTGAAGTAAATCAACGTGGATTAAGAAAATACTTTACTATTTTAAAGAATATATTCTCTTCATTATGAAACAAAGATTGTTTTGAATCAAATAAATTTATTTGATAGGATAATATGTTTTTTTCAGTGTACAGTTTAAACTTTAAATTAATAAGACACATTAATACTAGACCCAGTTATATTCAATTAAAAGATTTACATGCTCTTTTTTATATTTACATGCAAAACAATGGGAAATCAAAACGGGATTACTTTCGGGCAAATGTTAAATTTGTGTGCCAGACGTGCTAAATCAATCTAGCCGTTTTATCGTCACCATGTTTTTAGGAAACAGACCTCAAATTGATTGATTATTGTCCTGAACAATTTAGCACGGTAACATACAGTTCATTTTTTTTATCTGGACTCGTGTTTTTTTCTTAGGTTGGGTGCTTATGCCAGTTTGACTTAGAATTTTTAGTATTTAAAAATGGTACTTCTGCTAAAGAATTTAATTAAATACTTTGACACTGTCAAATTGACAATAATATATATTATTGATAATTTACTTAAATAAAAAGATAATTATGCCAAAAATAATAGCAACGAATTCGAATGTAAAAGCCCTTTTGAGGACAAAATTCATTTTGATGAAATTTTGCCAAATGTCACAATGGAAGAAAAAAATACATCGCCTTATGGACATTTTTGGAGTTAAAAAGTAACGAATTTGGATTTATAAAAATTACATCACACATTATTTTTACATTATTCACCATTGGACAACATTTACGTCCACAAAAAATTTTAATTCCTTTTATATAAATTCTTTTCAAAGCGAAGATTATTATCCGCTAGGAATACTTTCTCTTCTGGGCCGTAAAGCAACCTATATTTAACTACTTTTTTTATATGATTTTACTCATCCAAGCACCACCAAAGCCAAATTAATTGCATTTTTAACTACGAATTTCGACAACTCAACTTGACAATGTAA